GGACGGCGGTATCGTCTCAATCGACAATATAAATAAAAATGACTCTCGGAGTAAGAATATCATCATATCTGATAATATAATGTAGATAAATATCTTCCAGGTATCTTTAGTTGCTGGAAAATAATAATATTTCTCTCTTCAAGGTTTTCATTTGTCCCATCTCCGAACATAATTGCATGTTCGTTATGAACCTTGTCTTGCTGAAAATTTGAATAAATTAATGCTACTCATATTCCCAATTCTTGGTATAAGAAGCATGAAATATTTCCTGCATCCACAGAAAAATTGTCAATTTGGGGAGCTCTTCGCCCTTTTGACTTCTACATATTCGTTGAATGGAAGAATATGCCGATCTTGAGGCAAACCTATAGACCTGCATCCACAGAAAAATTGTTAGTTTTTACAAAATGAACTGATCTGTGTTGATCTCTTCGATTGTCTGCTCCTTGTCTTGCTATCCCCGGTTGATTTCTCCGATCTCCTGCTTCTTGATAGATAAGACAAAACATTTTTATGTAAAAATAATTAAAACATGTAGGAAAAGTTTTAAGAAAAAATAGATTTTCAAAAAGTAGCATTCGGAAAATATCACTGCCAAGTGTCATGTCACGCCAAGCTTAGTGGACGCTATTTGGAGTTGATGTTTTGGGATCCATCTGATTACTTGTTGGGAAGCATTCAAAGTTGTTCTAAACTGCCGATAGACCCGGTTGAAATTTTGAGGCCATCTCAAAATTTCTGTCCCAGTTAACTGTCTTGGTTTGTCTTCAGTCGTTGGTGAGCAAATCACGGAATTTTTGAGATATTCTTAAAAATTCTATCCCAGTTGCAAATCTCAAAGTGACTTTAGTCTTGACTTTGTTGGAAAGATCTTTTCCTCGAGAATTTTTGAGTCCCTCTCAAAAATTCTGTCCCAGTTTCTATTGTGAAGAGAAATAGAAATCCTACGGGAGATATGACCGAGCCGTTGTGGCGCCTACGTATCCCGTTGAGGCAGGAATCAGGTCAAACGTAGTTCCCCTCAAGGATTAGCAAAAATAAGAACTTTACAAAGAAATTGACCGAGGCCGACATAGGCCGCCTACGTATCTCATTCTTGAGAATTCAGGTCAGACGTAGTTCATTACAAAGGGATATATTCTAAACAAAGCAATTACGAGCAAATAGAACGATTACAAGGAAATAACAGAAATACAAGCTGAAG